TTCTTATTTGACCTTTTCATATTCAAATAGTCATATACAAATTCGAATCACGAATCAAGCGCAAAATATTTGATTCATTGTGTAGACGTGCCTTGTAAGAAACCTTCTCCTTATCATGGGGTCTGGACTCTGGACAGTTGCGGCGAATCTTTTATGTCTCATTGGCAGAGAATTTTTTTAGTAGCCAATATAATGATGGAAGGTTCGAGAAAGGTTAGGACGCGGCTCAATTTGGAAGAAGAAGAAGAAGACGACAAGTCGAATGAAACTAATCCAGATTAGGTCATGCAAAAGGAGACAATCAAGAAATTGAAAGGAAAAAAAATGCTTAAAAAACTACAAGTGACCAATCTGGGTCCGCTTGGCAAGATCCTAACGATCATGAGTAATGAGTTCATGACTCATGAAAGTATGAAACAAAGGACATAATGAGAATCAAGAGAGATGCCCGAGGGATAAAATCTTGGAGAAGAGAAAAGAATAAGGGGTAATTTGAGTTTGCACCCCATACTATTGTCTAAATTGGACTTTGCACCCCGTTTTTAAAAATCTTGTTTTTGCACCTCAACCTCATATGAAAAGACAAAAATGTCTCTCCATTAACAATTTTGTTGACCTTCAACATATTCTTGACTGAGGGTATTTTGTCTTTTCATATGGGCTGGGGTGCACAAACAAAGATTTTAAAAAACGGGGTGAAAAGTCAAATTTTGACAATAATACTGAGTGCAAACTCAAATTACCCCGAATAAAAAAAGTGAATACAGATTGGTTACCGGTTTTGCTTTAACAAAGTGACATATCAGAATTTTTGTAATATTTTATAATTCACCTTTCTAGACGTAATTCACATTTTATTTTTGGTTAGTTTAATTCTTCAAAGGAACATGAGGGGGTGGAGGTATATATGGTAGGGATTGGTAGGTTTGTGAAGATAAGTTTTATTGGGGTTAGGAGTATCAAGGATCTGGGAGCCGATTATTACTTCAAACTTGCAAAGGTTTCACATGGTTTAGGAACATAGCAATTAGCAAGGGAATTGAGATGATCCGTCTAAATTAATAGAACTTAGCAAGTTTCATTATGTTTCCTATCTTTAGGGAAATCTAGGCCTGGGACCGGTTCGGTTCCTAGGCAAAATATGTGGAACCGTTTGAAAATATGAAATTTTACTAACGGTTCGGTTCTTATAAATTATTTTAAAGAACCGATAAGGAACCGAACCGTTCTTAACGGTTCGGTTCTTGTCATTTAACGGTTCCTAGTCTTTGAAAAAATTCTTGCAAATCACGACTAAATTTTTGCCCAAAAGACATTCAACGTTCGAAATCTCAATACATATATGCTGAACCAGTTAAAGAGAATAATAATTTTAAATACTCTGGACCTTCCGAGTTCCGACCAGCTGGAGTTTGGACCGGCCTAATGAGAGGCCTAAGAAGCCTAAGAGAACCGGTTGAAATAAATAATAGTTTTAAATAGTTAAATAACTAAACTAAAATAATGAATATAATATAAAAATAAATAAATATACATTACAATATATATATTCATAAAAAATATATTTAATTTTAATTATTATATATAACGGTTCCTTAACGGTTCCTGCTACATATTTTTTTCAGGAACCGAGAACCGAACCGTTAATAAAAATTAGGAACCGAACCATTAACAAATAACTAATAAATGTTGGAACCGAACCGAACCGGGTCATAACGGTTCGGTCCGGTTCGGTTCTCCGGTTTTTGGTTCCAGCCCTAGGGAAATCTTTTTTATGTCTAATCAGTACTTGAATACATCTCTGGATTACGAACTTAGCAAGGGAATATGTCGCAAGTTTGGGTCTGGCATATGTTTTAAGATCAATCTGATATCAATATAGGTGATTTCTATTTAAAAATGATTAATGACAAGTCGGAATGGAATCATAATATGGAACAAAATCCATGTGTGAAAAGAATCAAGTGCTAGAAACCAAACAAATTCAAAATCAATGTAATTATGTAGGTAGGGGCTTCGAAATCCCATAAACAGTTGCATACATCATCGTCCTACTCCGTAATAAAGAAAACAAAGACCACCTTCTAAAGTCATAGAGAATATGCATCCAACATCAAGCTATCAACAAAGCATTCCACTATTTGGTATTGCGGTCATGCACTATACAAGAACACTTCCACAGTTCCACTTGATAGTCAAATTATGTGTATATCGAATTCAGTTTTAAGCTGGCCGACCTATATTTGCAAATCTTGGAGATAGACGGAAAAATCATGACGATGCTAGCCAGATTTCCCCGAAAGTACCATTTGAGGATGTCAAACTGCCAAACCCTCCAAAGAAATACTAGAGCAGATAAACAATTTCGAAACATAAATAGCACATACAATTGAGGATGGCGACCTACATCATGTCACCAGGAGCTTAGTCCATCAGAATTTGTTGTTGCTCAAGTTCAATGATGTTTTCCGCCAGGGAATTAAGGGCCCCACCATTCACCGTTTCATTGTTACCCCTGCTGCATTGCTCCAGTCGTTCTCTAAGACTTCGCACAACTTCGTTCAGTCTCTGTATGTTCTTTTCCTGTGACAAAATAATCTGCAAGATATATATGATGGAAATACATCAAGATTGGTAAAGACCAGTTGTGTGAAATATACTCCTTTGTCCAAGAAATAAGATTCAGTTACTGTTTATGGTGTTTGATTCCTAATAATGTTAACACTCAAACTAGTACTAATAATAAAAACCAACATGATAACTACACTAAAAGTTCTGTTGAACATCAAAAGCCATATTCGAATATGATAAAAGTTTGGTACATAAAAATTAGAGATCAAGAGCAAGATAAGTTGACACTTGATAGCAAGAATAACTGGAACTTGATTTTGGGAGGGAGGTAGCATATTAGAGGATACCGATGTACGTGGGGAACTCACGAACCAGGCATTGATGAATGATGAATGGAGTGCTACATCAACCTCAAGGCTATCGAGGCCTAGTGGAACATGACAAAAATATGAAAATGGTTTGCACAGTTAGATAGGTTGTGCACTACTTGTGCTAACTATCAACTCTCGAGGGGGCACAACTTTTAGTAAAGACTACACTTGAATGCAGAAGAGTGACAACTGAAGACCAACCTTCCTCCACAACCTTGTAAACTATTTTACCATGACTTTAAAGGGTTGAAGTAAATTATAAGAAAAAAGTACAACGGCTAAAGTATTTGTTGTGTGGAGTGCCATCCGACTAAGTAGGAAAAATGTCACCCTACTAGTGATGAAGGACAAAGTATATTGATGCAAACTCTGACTGATATACTAAATTATTAATATAAAGTAAAATGATTAAAACAGACCTTCTCTTTTACAGCTTCTTCTCTCTGAGAAATCTGCTTCTGCTTCTGTGATAAGCTAGGACTTGGTTCAACATCACTCGCAAGTTGTTGTTTCCATTCAAACTGAGACGTGATTATGAGTATCATTAACAAAAATACAAGCAGCATTGATCTTGACATCATCCTGATCTTCTCCACTTACACACCTAACAAAAAAGAACCAAACATAAAAGAAGTACAATTTCACTATACAGAAATATCATAACCTAGCTCTAAAATAACAAGTACAACTACTTAACAAATAATGAAAAAGATCAAACTCCTGGGAGCGTTAGATTTGAGAAGAACTGAGATTCATATAGTACTCATAGGAAACAAGAAGCAAAGAGGTAGTGATTTTGTAAATTAACACAAAAGACAAAATTTTCAAGCAGTATATAACAGAACATACTATATACTCCGTATTATATAAAAATGAGGTAATACATTACATCTTCAGAAGTAACTTTTATCACAGATCAAAACCCTAACATAAAAATGACATCATTATCTAAAAACTCATGATACAGCAGAATATAGGTCAAAGAATTCAACAGAGACCTTTAAACTTTACTCTTTATGAAACCCTAAATTAAAGGAAACGGGATTAGCAAATTGCCTAACTAGTACTCCCATCGGAAGCAAACAAATCTTACAGGAAAAAACACCGGAATTCCTAAAACTTCTGAGCTTAAAATAAGATAAGACGGTAGTTATATTTGTTCCCGGTTCCATTGCATCTTCAGACCCAAAATAGATATGAAGTAACAACTTACTGATGGGAGAGGATGGAAAGGGCATCTAACACCGCGGTCCTCGTGCGAAATGACGACAATCGATTGAAGTAAGAGCTGCAGAAACTTACTAGTCATGAGGATGAGGAGTATTTCTCATTTAATCCTTTGACCCTCTCCTTCTCCATTTCTGCTTCGGATAAAATATAAACATTTTCTTATTTCTGTGGGTTGTCGTACGGCACTTTTATTTGGGATGAATTGATGCTTGATTAGAACATTCTTTGTTTGGTTTCATTCTTAAAGGGTGTTTGAATTTACAGAAGTAGTACTGTGCATCTAGTAATTACTCCTTGTGTAGTAGACTAGCGTTATGCGGCTATGTTTGGCACGCAAAAGTATTTGTCTTTTTAGCTTTTCTACTATTTTAAAAATCTCTAAAAACTTATAGTTGTATGTTTGAAATGACAATATTTAAGAGTTTTACAAAAAAAATAGATCTTTTTTGATATGCTACATGGAGTAGCATCTGAGAAAAGTCTGTGACTTTTAGCATTAATTAATTCAAACAGCTTGTTACCAAACAGAACTAAAACAAACAGTCAGATTTTTACCAAACAACTACTTCCTCCGTCCCAAAAAATTCTTCCCACTTTGACTTAGCACGGAGATTAAGAAAGTGGAATAAAGTGGAAATGTGTGGTTGTGGTTGTGTAAGAAAATGGTGAAATGAATGTGAACCACACAAATTGTCCAAAAAGGGAAAGTGAGAAGATTTTTTGGGACGACCCAAAAAGGAAAGTGAGAAGAATTTTATGGGACGAAGGTCAGTATTACCTTTTCTTTTTATGATCTTTTCGGTCACTAAAAGCTACTACCTCCGTCCCCCTAAGTTTGGGACAAGAGAAGGTGGCACAGTTATTAATAAAAGTGGGTTTATGTGGTTGATATTGAATTGATAAAGTAAGAATAAAGTAGAAATGATTTAGAACCACACAAACTTTACCAAATAAGGTATGAGACAATCTTAGTGGGACGGACCGAAAAGATAAAATGGGACAATCATAGCGGGACGAAGGGAGTACTACATAACAGTTACTAAAAAACTCACAAAAATATCTTTTCAGCTAATTGCGCCAAACATACCCTAGTAGTCTTCCATCCCCCTAACTTTGTCCCGTTTTGCTTTTTTCATTTGTCCCATTAATTTTGTCACGTATCATATTTGGTAATATTTGGATGCTAACAATTAGTGATGGCAACGGGGCGGATCGGGGACGGGTACACATAAACCGGAACCGCCCCGTTGGATAAATGTTTGCCCCAAAACCGCCCCATTACCCATTCGGGTAATTTTTATTTGAACCGTACCCGCCCCAATGGGGAATCGGTTTATCCACGGGTAACCGTTTCCCCAAATGATACCAAATAACCAACTTTTTTTGGGAAAACGAATAACCAATTTTTAATCCTACTTGTTATTTATATATTCAAAGCACCCTAAAAAAGACAAAAATAAACATTTAAGCAATCAAGCAGACTGACCTAAATTCATTAGTATGACATGCACCCAATATCTCTTGTAACATAATAAAAAAGTAGTAATCATCCCAGAATCCAAATTTCAAAAATAGGTTTAGGCCTATATTTAGTTTTAGGCCTAAAAAAGTAGTATACTTTTTAGCATTATTTATATGATATATACTATTTATTATACACAATTTAGCATATATAGTTATTATTCTTATATATATAAAGTTATAATTTATTAATAATGTTATCGATCGGGTAACGGTGCGGGTACCCGCACCACTAGTGAACGGGGCGGTTTCGGGGCGGATAATGGGGTGGATTAGTATAGAACCATAACCACACTATTAACCATTTAAAAAATTCGGGTATTCCCCGCCCCGTACCCATTCCCCAGTCAAACCGGTTTTCCCCAGTTTGGCCAAATCGGTTCGGTGCGGGTATCCAACGGGTCGTTTGAAATTGCTATCTCTACTAACAATTCATTCTTACTTTATTCACGCTTTAAAAATGAAACCAAACAATTCCCTTTTTTCTTAAAAGTTGTGTCACACTCTCTTGTCCCAAACATAGTAGGACGGAGTTAATATCACATATCGTTAAGTTTCGGTAAAATAATTGAAATGTTTTTAAGCCCCAACTCTCAACTGTTTTTAAAGATAGAGATTAGTTCTGAGAAATTGTTTGTACTTCCGTAATTTAATTAACTAAATAATATGATAGCACGTGGTAACTTTTATTAATACAAATCTAAATATTTGATACATTACTAGTTAATTATGGTGTGAATAGTATCACGAGAATACCATTATGCTCTTATTATATACTCAGTCCCGTTAAGATTGTCCCATTTTACCTTTTTCAGGAAGTCCCACCAAGATTGTCTCATACCAAATTTGGTAAAGTTTGTGTGGCTCTAAATCATTCTTACTTTATTTTTACTTTTTCAATTCAATATCAACCACATAAACTCACTTTTCTTAATAACTCTGTCATCTTCTTCCGTCCCAATGTTAGGGAGACGGAGTCACGGAGGCAGTATTATATATAGGTTAAATAGGACATGATATCTCACCAAAATATTGTTAGTAATATCTAGAGAGAAGGAAAAATAACTAAAACATAGAGAGAAAAGAATGTCTCACAATAAATGAGTTTCAAACTATTACATTTCAAGTAATATTTCTTGTCATGTAAGCCACTCAATTTCTTCTAATTCGGTTTACATAAGAGCCTCAAATTCGTTCGGTTATTTTCAGATAGAAACATTTTTATTTTTCCACTATGTTTGATCTTCCTGAAACACAACAGTGGTGATAGAGCCGTCAGTTCTTTATTATATTCGGTTACTTGATTTGATATATTAAATTTGTAAGGAATGTGTTCTTGACCAAACAATTCCTGTCACACCAGCGGCTAATGCCCTAGAGCCACTAGAGATACATATGAAAGGCATATACGCGATGATATTGATGTCACTTGTTTGATGTTAACGATCATGGAAACCAAACTTGAGAAACAATGTCTGAATCATGCACATGAAATCTCTATTGAAATCAAGAACATGTTTGAGAAACAAGCACGTATGGAAAGGTTCGAGACAACCAAAGCTTTATTTTATACGGAGTACAAGATTTACTGATGGGAACCCAGTTGGACTTCATGTACTCAAAATGATTCGACACAGAGACCACTTAGCAAGATTTGAATCTCCAAATAGTCAACCCAACATATGATCGGTACACCCTAACTATAATAGGTCATGAGAAGACTTTAAGTGGATTTCTTTTAGGGCTAGAGATCGATTTCTCTGACTGTCTCACATCCTTACTGCAAAGTTTGCAATGTATATCCCTCGATTTCTTGTAATTTTATTTATTGTAAGATCCTTAGATCCATTTGATCTGCCCAAACCCAACAGATCTAATAGCGGTTCTAAGCCAGTGCCAATCAAATTTCTTTGCTGTTTTTGTAGCCTACTTTTAAAAACTCAAACCACCGCAACCAGCCCAGTACATTTTGGAGGACTAAGAACACTTCCCGAGTCAAGCAGGTTCAGGGTAGCCGTTCGATTTGGTCCCAACTCCCAACTAGGGATGGACTGGGACGGGTCGGCCCGACCCGGCCCGGTCCCGACACTATTTAGGTCGGGAGATCAGTCCGGTCCCGACCCGGTGGCTATAAGGGCGGATTGGGCTCGTTTTCTTAGGTCCGGCCCGGCCGGGCTCGATCGCACTATGTTTTTTTTATTGCCCAGGCCCGTCCCGTCTTGGGCCGGTCCCCGATCAGGTATAAGCCCGGCTGGTCCCGATCCCGGTACAAACCCGGGCCGGTACCAGGTCTGAAATTTTTTGTCCTAGTCCCGGAGCCCGGTCCCGGCCCATCCCTAGTCCAACAAATTTTTCGATTTGGGGTGGTAACCGGTGGTTTGCCAGATCAATTTCAATCCGGTACCAGTGAGACTCCACATTTTTTAGGGCAGTGAGACTCCACATGGATTCATATCTCCGTACAACTGCTAGAAAGTCAAATGCACTTCTCTTAACCGCTAGTTCATAGCGTAATCACTTCTTGATAGGCCAAATAAACCGTAGTGGTATAATATGATTAACGGTTCAAAATATGTAAAGCTAAATAAGTAGTAAAGCCACCATCCAAAAGAAGATTGTGGCCACTCGTATACTTAGACACATCACTTGCTAAATAGACAAACAGCCTCAGCTACATCTTCGGGCATCAAATGTGAGCCTTTATAAGGTTTGAATACACATCAAACCTATCGTCCTCTGCAAAACCAAATATGCCCGAGAGTGCCCGTGACATGCTTGTTGGGACTGTGTAAGGAGAGACACAGTTGACCCAGATACCATATTGACCCAAGTCAAGAGCAGTGTTCCTAGTCAGGCCAAGAACTGCATGTTTTAAGCACGTGTACAGTGCCGATCCTATCTAAATTCGGGCCTGAGTCGAACTTCAAAAAAAGACCTCTATAAATTGTAATTTTATGTAGTAAATTTGTTTTAAACTTAAAGATACATCATAAAATAACTAATTAAATAAAATTATTACATTATATAATACTCCCTCCGGTTCTAAATAAACTTCACACTTTCCTTTTTGGGACGGTCCAAAATAAACTTCATACTTCCTTATTTCCTTATTTGGCAAAGAAATATACATCAAAACAGTGTTAAACAGTGCTAAACAGTGCCAAACAGTGTCTTAATAGTGCCAAACAGTGTCTCAACAGTGTCAAACAGTGTCTCAACAGTGTACTCTACAGTAAAGTCAACTTTATTTCCTTAATAACTGTGAAGTCAAACACTGAAGTTTAAAAAGAACCGGAGGGAGTATAACAATACCAAATGTTTTAGAAATAACGAATTAGTTACGGCGAATATGACAATTTTAGCCACAAATGTTAATTAAGTCGGCGTAATCAAGGAGTTCAATAAACTCCTTGTCTATTGATAACATAGCTAATTCACAAAATGTTAAACAAATGCTGAAACAAAACGTAAATGAAAACATAATTTATTGAAATCATATACAGAGTATATTATAAATATTGATAACATTAGTTAAACAAATGTGCTAACTAATGCATCATATTAACATGTCACTAAATCAGAGAAGATAATCCCCTTAAAATTTAATTTGTAAATATAAAAAAAAAACTGAAATTGTTTAATTCTGAATCTCAAATCGTTTAAGTATCCTACATTAAGCTCAAACTTAATTTTCTAAACATATAGATCAATCAATGGGATCTCAAATAAACCTTGGAACCACTTATTACTCCCTCCGGTTCTTATTAAAGTTCACAGTTTGACTTCACAGAGATTAAGAACATAAATTTGACTTTATTGTAGAGTGCACTGTTTGGCACTGTTTCGCAATGTTTTACAATGTTTTGCACTGTTTTGTTTTCTAAAATGGAAGTGTAAACTTAAATAAGGGGCATCCAAAAAAGGAAAATGGGAACTTTAATAGGGACCTGAGGAAGTATTCATCTCCGATTAGCACAAAAAAAGACTTTTTGATGGTGCAAAAGAAATTCAAATTGGGGCCCATAAACTTCTAGCTTTAGCATTTGAAAAGTCACATCTTCTGTGCGGCTTTCCGTTCCACTTGGTTGGTACTTGGAGCTATTTCGAGTTTTCAAATGCACCAGCGGATAGAATTTAAACAAAAGTAGGTCTTCTATAATTTAAATACATATGTACAATAGACATATATTTTAAATTATGGGCCCTAAATTTTTAACCTTTTTTGGGGCCCTGAGGCCTTTGCCTCAATGGCCTCTAAGAAAGCACGGCTCTGCACGTGTAACCGTGTCGCCCCATCCCACTTATGATACTGCAGATGCCAGACTTGTTTATTATGCTCCCTAGTTGGGCAGGTTTCATTACCTGAGCAGCGGGTTTGGTGCCCAGAAATGCGCCAACAACAATAACATGAAAGACATGAGTGAAATCAGTTGCATCGCCATCAAGAGAGTCTGGTGCTTTGGTGATTCCCATGATTCCAGCATTGTTTACCATTATGTCAAGTTTTCCGTGTGCGCTGACTGTTGACTCTGCTGGCATTTTGGACACATGATTCGTTTGTGACATCACACAGTAGAAAACTGAGCATCTGCAGGGCGTAAATCTTTGCAGAGGGAATGGCTTTGATCATCTCTGTTGGTGTCGGCTATGAAGACTTTGGCACCATTTTGACAGAAGAGCTTTGCTGTGATAGATCCAATGCACCTGCACCACCAGTGATCAGGACTACTTTTCCTTCCAACCTATGAACCAAAACACGGAGTGTGAAATAATGATCCACGACTAGGGCTGTTAACGAACCGAGCTTTTATCGAACTATTCGAGTTCGAGCTCGGTTTCGAACCTAACGAGCCGAGCTTAACGAGCTTTCGAACTCGAACCCGAGCTGAGTTTTAAGTTCGAAATATAATAAAAATTTAAATATAATTAGTATGATTTTAAGCATTTAAATATGTTTATTAACGAACCGAATACTTGTCGAATCATTCGAGCACGAGCCTATTAATGAGCATCACCTAAAATTTTAAAATCGACTATATTTATCGAGCTTAACGAGCGCTCGGTTCGAACATCGAACGCCTATCGAGCCGAACACGAGCCTCATATGTAAAGCTCGCCGAGCTTCGAGCTCGAACCCGAACACCATTAATTCCTTATCGAGCCGAACTCGAGCTTTAGATGTTCGGGCTCGGCTCGGCTCGGCTCGGCTCGTTAACACCCCTATCCACGACTGTTTGGGCTGTAATATGAGTGAGGATATTCCACTTTTGGTCCTACTTCTATTAGCTCATTTATACTTTTGGTTTCCTACTTTCATTTTGTTCTATATATGTATCAACTATAGATTTCTCGTCACCTTTGGTCATTCCGGTCACTTATGTAGCCATTTCCCGTTTGATTCTTCGCCAAATAAATAATCAGAACCACAAGTGATAAGAGTCAACAGTTGTGCACTAAAAGTAAAATAAATGAAAGTTGTAGGATCATATGTTGAATATTTTCTAAGAAAAACGGATCAGGACTGCCAACCAAAAACAGAAGGAAGTGGACTGCAATGATGATGTGGCATTTGAAAGATGTGGTGTATTCTGGTTCAAACTCAACTAATCATTGCCCGGATTCAGCTGAGTTTGCACCCTATGTTTCTTTTCTTTGGACAAGCATCCTAGAGTGGGATGCAAAGTCATATTTTGAGTTAAATCATGGGGTGAAAATCTAATGAATGTGATGCAAAGTCTAATACATTTAATGTGGTATTAGACTCTGCGCCATGCGGAGCAAAGTCCAATTTCTCACCAGGAAGAAAAAATCCACCCTATTGAGCTAACAGAAATGAAAAAATGAATTACGCATACCTCTAGCAGTAGTAGAAATACGTAAGCCTCCTGTCATTAGAGTCTTCAAGTGCCCAAACGCATCTTTCAAAATGACAAAAAATATGCAAGTCTTCTATATCTATAGAAATAAACTCTTGGATAATGCCTCGTTGGTTACCATATACTTCGTATCAAGTTGCATGTTGCTTTAGCCTTTGAGGAAAGCAACACTAAAGCTAGTAATGTCCACATATTTCTTTCTATTATTATATTGTTGACTATCAACCCAGGGGTTAGTGATTGTGATATACCACTATAGATAAAGCCTTAAGGGACCTACCACCATAAGAGAAAAAATTCACTCACAGTAATCTTATTTTTCTGTCAACAATGAACAATTACAACACTCCCCAGTTTAAACCCTGCTAAATAAACATGGGCCTTACCACTCCAGATGTGGGTCCCACACATCAAACGTCGAGATAAGCCAAATATCAAACGTTGAGATGAGCAAGACAGGATATGCTTCTGGTCAATCCTAACAAAAGTTAATACTTTCATTAAAGCAACCAATCCTTGATTGAAGATGACCGACATTGTCTAGTACAAAAGTCTCGTGTTCTTCAGAGATGAAAGTCTCCAAACCATTTTACAAGGTGGGATCCCTCCAATGAGGAGAGCAACAGAAAGAGTAAGATAAGGGTAACTACAATAAGAGCATAGATGAACAAATTTTTCAGTCTTTGTCTAACCACACCACATCTTGGTGATTGCTCTTTATCTGGTATGGAGATCTCCTCAGCATATGTTTTCATGTTCTTAACTTGATATGATGCCTCAAGGAATGATACTTTTTCCCTTCTTAGTCTTAATCTTCGATTTGCAGTGCCTTGGGGAGGAAGCACACGGGGCTCAAAACCTTGAGCATGTTGCTTATCTGGTCCAAGATTCTTGTTGGTAATTACTGACAGGGAATCAAGAGGTGTACTTAAGGAAGAATCATCTAGCTTTATTATGTCATCTCTCAGTATATCCGTGAAGCAGTCGTCTTCATTGTCATAGTCCTGGAATTCATGAATGCGAACATATCAGAACCTTTCGAGTTTTACCAGAAGTTTTACTTCTCTAAAAAAACCATTTAATTCTTTATATTTACCGATGTGGTTGACATAGCATGCCCTATCTATATAGCTCTTCAGGTCATAAATATTATGACTTACGATTTCATCCTAAAAATGTTATACTTTAAATGAGGGATGCAGTGGTGCACAATGCACTATATTCTGTTTTTTTTTTTTTTTGTATTTTACAGGATCACATATCAGCTAACGTATAGCACTTTTTAAAACATTAGTCACTAAACATGATTAATCCCTTTCCCCGCCTTTTAAATTCCAAATAAGTTTGAGCTTTCCTGACCAGCAATTGCTAGGTTAAAGAGAATCCATCGTACAACAATACCAAAAATAGTGTTAGTAAACAGATCTGCAGGAGAGAAAGGAGGATGAAAAAAATGTAAAACCTTCAGGTTATGGGATGAAAGGATTTCATAGGTCTGATCATAATCAAACCCAGAGTCGATTTGCTTAAGTGATTGGAAATTGAAAGTGCTCGAGCAGGGGTTTGAGCAGCTGCCCCCTGTACTTGGTTCTGTGACTTCTGTCACACTTCCAGCATGTTGTAGTTCACAATAGGTTTTATTACTTATATTATCAGCAGCAGAATGATCCTTCAAAATTCTGGGGGTGTCATTCAAGTGGAACTCCTTATTCTTTCTAAGTCGGCAGACAACCATGGAGTCCTGTGGGTATATACAAAATAGTAATGCTAAACACATGAGAAATGATATCACTTAAGAAACCTGTGCAGAATCAGTCAAATGTTTTTCAACATGAGAAAACTCACAATAATGATAAAAGTGATTCTTGTATAATGTTTGTGTCAACGCTTTTCTTCACAACACATGAAAATGCACACTTATTGGGATGCAAAAGTAAATCCATGTATTCGCCTCAGATTTCTCAGTACAATTGTGGTTAGTATTCATAGCAAGTGCTTGAGAACATTTTGAGAGCATGAACTGCATTTACAAAACAAGTGCAAAGAAAACACAATCCAAAAGTTGAGCTATGTTTGGTAACTTGGAAAATGTTAAGGAAAGGGGGGAAATGCTAAGAATTTTTATTACGATTGGTTTTACCTTAGAAAATACGAAGAATTATCAAATTTGAATAGAAAGTTCTCAAAATTTAACATATAGTTAGATTTTGCAGTTGTCATATAATAGAAATATATAAGTAAAGTTGGTTAAAACAGATATCTAAAATTGGTTTATTGAGTTTGAACAAGCATTTTATCCACCCCACCCCACCCCCCCAATTCTGAACTTCTCATCTACTTTCCTTCTTGTTTACTTTCCATAGCATTTTCTGAGTTCCAAATGGACCCTATGTGCTGGAAAAGAAAGACCATTCTACCATAGCCAACATTAAAGTAGTGCAAGCATCCACATTACCTGAGGTTGTTTTTCATCACTGCAATACTCATGCATGATCCACTCCGTCCTCTGACCTTCAGGTGCACGACCAGTGTGGAAGACAAGTGTCCTTTTTGTGCCAATCACATTTGGACCAGACTTTACGTTCCGGTTTTTACCTGTGGCCTTCCAGTAGCCAGATTCAGTAGCTCTCTTACTCTGCGATCCATTTGGATACTTCCTTCCACGGGGCGAAAAGAAGAACCACTCGTTATCTGATTGCACTACAGACTTGGCTGCTTTCACCGATAAATTAACAGATCAATGAATATTCATACCATATTAAGATCAATACAACATTCTTCTGGATCGTGAATGTAGGACGTGACATACACAAGTACACAACGTGACATCTAAATGGCATTTGAAGCCAAGCCGGTTCCTAGGTAATTTTTATTCTTGATGTAATTTTTACACAAGAATTATAAGTGAAAAATGCTTACAAACTTCAAGGAAATGAAGACCTTTGAGTGTCAGTTGCATAAAATAATTAAAAATATCAAAACAATCTACAAGTTTACATTAAAAAAAACGTAACAGGTAACTAGTATACTTCAAGACATAGATGGTACTTTACAGAATCTAACGAAAAAGGAAAAGTTGTAGATGGCACCTACTCGCCTAGCAACCTATAGGCCGACTGACCATCTAAGTAGCACAGCGTGCATGCCTCTGGCCTGTTGTTGACTACTTTGCAAAATACAACCAGTTCCTGGACAATGAATAGACCTATAAAGAAATCCACTAAAAGCACCATATACATTCAATTTACCAAAAACTTGATTTTATTTCAATTTTAACTCACCATTTATAAGGTCATTTATTTCAATTCTAACTCATCATGAGGTCCAGAGAGGAACTTATTAATCGTATACTATCCAACAACTTTCACTTTACTGAACTTTCCTCAAAACGCAAACCTCATTCACATCAACTCATTCTCACCTAGCTAAGTTTTATGCAATGGCCTTTTCAGTAAACTGAAAGTTGTTTTGATGAAGTACACTGAAGTTTCAGCTTTAAACCATTTCTTATCAAAAGAAATTTACAAACTAAAACCCAAACATACACTCAGTAAAGTTCCCTGAAGTTTAAACCACTTCGAAGTACTCAATTTTACTTTATATCAAAGCAAAAGCTTTTTAAACGAGCAGTTTATTCATTTGTACTTCACAAACCGAAAATAACGTGTATTGAAAATTGAACCATGATTTTTAGAAAGAAATGAAAAGGGAAGGAAAGGTAGAGTACCGGGCAAGTCCCAAGGCTCATGCCTCCAAATCTCAACTTCCGAGATGAGCTCCACGCAGCTGTCAATCCCTTCCAATTTCTTCTTCAGGTAATACGATATCAGCTCCTGGTCCGTCGGCGAAAACCTGAACCCCGGAAACATCGACGACGCCGTCGCCAGACATATCTCCGGGGCTTTACCATTGTTACTGTCACAGTTGCCAATCTCCTGCTCGCTATTACTGCTTCCTCCCAATTCAACGTCTTCGTTTTCGTTTGCCCCAGATATATCTCCGTCCTCCATCATATTCTCTGATTCTTGTGCAATTATGATTCGTCGGGTAGGTATATGATAATGATATATACTCCGAAATCCAAAACTTGGTGAATACGTGTCGGTGTGTGTATGTTGAAGAAAAAGCAGGCAAGGCTGGGGCTTTGCTGATGCAACTTCTCACTTTGCTTTTGCCCGTGAAGCCGCCCGGTCAGGGCGGACGCGGATGCGGGCCACGTGCGGCTCACGCATCAGAACCGGACCCTCCCAAGAATGTGAAAGAGACCAAATTTGAGACAAAAGTGAGGCCTCCTTTTAGCTTTGAGGAGCGGGCAGGGGCTGCCCGCACGTACTCAGGCGCTTTTTATTTGTAATAATAGAGGCCATGCTTTTCATTTCACAGTGTTCAAAATTGTGCTGCCGATGTCAGAGCAGTACAGTGTTGAGTCGAAATGCTGCAGTAGACACGTAGGAGTGATGGATATTGTCATAGGAACTCCATCTTTATTGTCTTTCGTGTTGGACCATCTCAATGCTCAAAATAAAATTTCAAAGCAATTTCGTGTGTACGTCAAATTTTAGAGTTGGTGTTTTGGTGTATCCAAAATGGGTACCCATCTTCACCCCACTCACTATGTGGTTCAAATGTGGTCGTGGGAATTGTCCCACTTAAATGAATTGTCTCATTTGAGTCACACAAATAGAGATAAATATGGGTACCCCATTTTGGATACCTATAGTATTTTTGCAACTTTTATTTGTGCAAAAATGTTATTTATATGCTGGCTTATCGTTCGTTAACAAGTCAAGTATATTTTGTGTGTACACAAGCTATTGTTTTTCATTTTAATAAAGAAAATTCTGTGTGACTCTGAACTGTTTATGCACAGACAGTTCATTTTTTAGCAGTCACAAACAGTTCTATTTACTAATGAAAATCAATTGTTTTTTAAGAAGAAGCTTATATTATATAGAGTATCATCATAAACTAAACACCATAGGACAAAAACTCTCATTTTAACCACCTACTTAGATTAGACATGGAATTATATGTGTTAT